TATATATATATATATATATATATATATATATGATTGGTTTTTCAAGAAGGTTGAAAAATATTTTGATGCTGCATCAAAGTTTGTTAATCTATATCTTTGTTATATTTTTTAATTTTTGTGTGCATTAGTGTTGTGCCTGCATGTATGTCTATGTGAAGGTGTTGCATCCTGGAGTTACAGTTGCAAGCTTCTGTGTGGGCGCTGGGAACTGAACCCAGGTCCTCTGGAAGAGCAGCCGGTGCTCTTAACCGCTGAGCCGTCTCTCTCTCCAGCCCTAAACTTTAGTATTGAACTTGATTAAGTGAGCATACCAGACAGGGTCAGAAACACCTGGTTACCAGGTCTCGACAAGACGGATCCAGTGTGGTGACAGAAGCCAGTGCCAGCCAGGGGTGCGCAGAAGATGCCACCACATACCGCCTGCAGAGCACCCGGCAGGCCGTCACTCTGGACCTGGAACTTGAGTGTGGGGGGGGGGGGGGCGACAGTGGATCCACAGGCACAGGCCAGGAGTTCAGATTCCTAGTTGTGGGGTCTGTGGGACGACTCAGCAGGCAAAGGTGCTTGCCACCAAGCCGTGGGACACACACAGTAGCGGGAGAGGCTGACTCCTCCAGGGTGTCCTCTGGCCACCTGGGCGTATGTGCTCCACCCATACATATAACAAAATAAAGTAAACCACCACCACCACCACCCAGCCAGTCACGGTGACACAGGTTTGTGATTCCGCAGGCGGGGCACTGAGGCAGGAGCATCCACGGGCTCACTTTAACAACAACAACAAAACCCACTCTTACAGAGACTGGGGTAATGGGGGCACAAGTCAATGGCCCCGAGCTAACCAAGACAGCTGGGAAAGCAGGAAAACGCCAGAGGTCGGCGGCCTCAGCCACAGGGATGCTAGACTTCTGGCCACCACGGACTCGAGGGCGGAGAGGCTGCTGGAGGGAAGTCAGGGCCGATGGGCCCTGAGAAGCTTTTCCTGGTATCGGTTCCTCCCGGGCCGCCTGGGCAGCATGCCAGGCTGTGGCCCAGGCAGCAGCCTCCCTCTGAAGCCCTATCGGCTTCCTGCACCCTGGTCTGCCGCTTCCCCTCTGCTGAGGGCCAGATCGCACCTGGCATCTCCCCACCCCGTGACCTGCTGCAGCCCCGACAGCCCTTCCGAAGCCTCACGTAAACATGAGTTGGAGCTGTGCCCCACGGCAAGCTGGCCAAGGATGACGGTACAGTTCACTATCAGTGGCCATGTGTGTTGTTTATTTTTTTCCTGTGCGTGTGCACGTGAGGTCAACATCAGATGTGTTCCTCAGTTGCTCCCCATCCTGTATTTGGAGGTGGGGTCTCTCACTCAGGCTGGCTGGCTGCTGGGTCCCTGGCATTCCCCTGCCTCTGTACACACCACGTCATCTAGGGAGCCAACTTTCAGAGTCCTCAGGAGGTTGGTATCATCACTCTGGTTAGTGGACCCAGCCCCCAGGAGGCCAGCCCCAGGCCGCAGAGCCAAACGCTGGTCTCAAACACCATTGTCTTGGGAGGAAATGAAATCAAAGGGTGCAGCTGGGCTGGAGCAGTGTGGACTCCATTTTGTTCCCCACAGGACACTCAGGCCATAGAGGACCGACTGATGGGTGAAGATCTCGATGAATGAGTACAGGTGGCTTTCACTCACTTTTGTATTTTATATTGTTTATTTAGTTTTTGTTTGTTTTGAGACAGGGTTCCTCAGTGAAGCCCTACCTGTCCTGGATCTCACTCTGTAGACCAGGCTGGCCACGAACTCACAGAGATCCACCTGCCTCTGCCTCTAGAGTGCTGGGATCAAAGGTGTGCGCCACCACCACCAGGCTATAAAACATTTTAAAATGATTAACTCCTAATTTTATTTTACTTTTAACTTTTTTTTTGCACTTTCATAAATATATATTGTGGATTTTCATCATATGTACTCACATTTCCATTTTCCACATTTATTTACATGTATCATACAAGCCCATATAGTAATGGCCTTCCTGGTGCCATTTTGATCAATATATAGTGTATTTTAATCTTGCCTTCATTTTATTTGTGTTTTTAAAACGTTGTCATTACCACAGATTAAATTTACATAATTATGTAATAATGAACTTCATTAGGACATTTTTCATGCACGTATAATGTATTTCAATTTCTTTTTTTCCAGTTTTTTTTTTTTTTAATATTTCTTTATTATGCATACAGTATTCTGCCTGCAGGCCAGAAGAGGGCACCAGATTTCATTACAATTGGTTGTAAACCATCATGTGGTTGCTGGGAATCAAACTCAGGACCTCTGGAAGAACAGCCAGTGCTCCCAACCTCTGAGCCATCTCTCCAGCCCTTTTTTCCAGTTTTATTTATGTGCATTGGTGTGAAGGTGTCAGATCCCCTGGAACTGGAGTCACAGTTGTGAGCCACCTGGGTGCTGGGAATTGAACCTGGGTCCTCAGCCAGTGCTCTTCACCGCTGAGAAATCTCTTCAGCCAGTATTTAATTTTATTTTTTGTTTGTTTTTTGTTTTTTGGAGACAGTGTAGCCTTGGTGCCTGTCCTGGATCTCGCTCTGTAGCCCAGGCTGGCCTCGAACTCACAGAGATCCGCCTGGCTCTGCCTCCCGAGTGCTGGGGTTAAAGGCTGCGCCCCCGCCGCCCGGCGTGTTTAATTTCTTAAACATCAATTTTATTCGCGTGTCACTGTAAGCATGATGGTGCTCGCCATCTACCCTGCGGCCCCCAAGATCGAACTCCTGCCGCCAGGTTTGGCTGCACGCGCCCCCGCGTGGCGCTGCTCGGTAACCCCGGCTCCATCCGGAGGCCACAGGCCACGCCCCCGCGGTAGAGCCCCGCCCCGAAGCCTTGCGCATGCTCTGTCGGTATTGGTCGCCGCTGGATTCAGAGCAAACCATTTTGATTCCTCTCCGGGGGGGGCGGGTAGAGGAGGCCGGAAGTCGCCTCTCGGGCTTGGCGGATGTCTCCGTGCGTTGACGCCCCTCGCCGCGGCGCTGGTTCCGCCCGGCCTGGTCACGTGGCCGGCAAGATGGCGGCGCCCAGGGGACGCTGCGCGCGCGGTGGCCGCTGACGGCCCTG